AGTACCATATAGCACATTCTGCTGTGACACCAAATGCTTTGCCCACCAGAGAGGGAGCCTAAATTATCCTTCAAGAATTATTTCTGTAAGATGTATAGGGTATCTGCTGTGACTTCCTGATAAAGTTTTAGTAATAGTTACAGAAGCATCTCCAGAGATGAGAAAGTAAATTACCATGAACTTTTAATGCACTTATCATTCTGGCTTCTACCTCTGAGTAAAATAATCACTCTTACAAAACCAGTGCCATTTACTCTAGGGCTTTTTTTTTTCAAATTACTTATATTTTAATAACAATAATTGTAAATGTATTGCAAGTTAACAACTCTCTTCAGAATCATCAGGAGCTCTTGAAAGACCTTGAAGAGTATTTGGATCTGAATAGGAAGTAATTTATGGTTGAAAATATCATTGCATTTATAAGATTTGCCTACAAAATAACAGTGTATATGAAGACATTGTATAAGTCAGAAAACCAAGTCAGAAAATACTTGTATACCTACGCCCCACCTGAGTCTGAAGCTGAAGCCTCACAACTTTTTCTCAGCTGCCACTTAATTCCGGAGTTACCTAAATCAAGAGCACAGATTTTTGTTAACAGAGATCTGAGGCATGTAGAATTCAGCTTCTGAATAACCATAGAAGTGGCTTGCTTTTAAAGGCATAAATATATTTGGCACTGAGCCCTGCAGGAATCCACAAAATAGGACAATTCTATTGGAGCAAGCTCTCGGTCAAATGCCAAGGTGATATCTGCCTTGTTTTAAAACCCTGAGATGGAGAATTCGGTATTGCTGATGTCCCTGCTTATCCAATAGATAAACGTTTAGAGCACCTGTCTAGAATATGGGAGATGGAGATTCGATATGTATGCAGCAGGGGTTCAAATCTATATATTTTGTAAGGAATGGCCTAATTTTGGGGATAAACAGCTCACTGGAATGGAGGGACTTTGCACTCCTGCTGTTATGTGCTTCTACCTGTGAAAAATTTGTGTTCAGCAGAGCAGCCTGTGGTCCCTCTTCCAAGGCTTACTTAGCTCTTTCACTTGAGTCTTAATTTCTGTAAAGAATCAATCACTGGTCCTTGTTGGAAGGACTGAAATGCAAGTGTTTCCCTCTGAGCTTCAGGCAAGGTAGTCATGCTTGCTCTTGGCCTGTTTCTCTCTGCACTGGTGAATCTTGAAGCTGTCTGTGCAACGTGGGGAGTCTCTAGTAGCATGTGGTCCATGCACAACTGTGAGGAGTGGGAGAGGTGGTTGCATTCCCTCTGAAAAAAGGAAATGTGTTGTGGGTTCCCCATGTCCCATGTGCGTGCTGAAACCACTGAGCTACTGAATGAAACACGACCTGAAAAGGAACAGCAATCCTACTCCACTTGGGTTTGCTTTTAAGGTACCCTTCATCTAAGAGAGTAGGGTTCAGGCTATAACACTCAAGTGGAAATAGCATTTTGCTGTAATTCATGAAGAGGATCAAGTCAACTTTGAGGAGACGGAGCACAGTCCCAAGTTAAAAGTTTGAGGAAGGACGAAGCCCCCTTCAGAACACAGAATAGGAGTTGGGGAAGGAGCTACACTGTGGTGAGAGAAATGTGGTGAACGGCCTCCTCTGGATGGGCCTTACACAGTAGCAGATTTGTGAAGCAACTGTCAAGTTACCTTATTTTGGGCACCTCACAGGAATCTGTTCCTTTTCCTTTCTTTCTTCTAGCTAAAGAACAGTAGGTGTTGCACGATGAGAAGGTGATTGAGCAAGGACAACAGGCCAGGGGAAGATTAGTGTATGATGGAGAGTGAATGGATGCATGTGACAATATGGGGCATCTGCCCCAAGCCCTCTTAAGTTGCTGGCTCCTCCTCTCATCGTTCCTCAGCCTTGTAAGTATTTGAACACACAGACTTCAGTGGGCTTGAAGTAAGCAGGGTCGCAAAAAGAGATGGGGCCCAGATTTGTTGCATATAGAAGGAGTGAGGAGAGCTGAGGGTGCAGCAGCAGGAGCTTGCAGGTAATCGGTGTTGCTAATGGTAACTGAGACAGCAGGTAAAGTGCGTACAGCCGCATATCCTGAATGGTACCTGCCTTGTCTGCGTTGTAGGCACCTATATAGATGGAGATGGGTGATAATGAAACTCTGTGGACTGGAGCACAGGCCCTGCCCAGAGTTTTCGTGTTCAGCATGCAGCTTGGTTAGAGGCGTCTGGAAGTCGCAGTCTAAATTCGTAGTTATTGAATGGCTTACAATAAAAGGTATTTGTTAAAGATTGAAATTGAAACAGCGTATTGGGAGCTGATTTCAATCCTTAAACTTGATTTACCAGTATATGTTGTGCACTTCATCTGCATGTAGTATGACTGTAATTATGATATCTTTGTTAGTCTAACTCCCAAGAACAAAAAAGTGCTTAGACATTAGCTGGCTATCTTCCGGATTTTTAAAGCCAAATATCTAATTAGAGCACTTCTGTTTCTTACATTTATTTTCAGTTCTAGAGAGTGAAAGACAAGAAGTCTCAACACAGCTGTGGGTCTTTTATAAACTTCAGCTTTTTAGGGCTTTTGGGTCAAACTCTCTGGTGGTGTAACTCCACAGACTTGCATTTCTGCTGGTGTAACTTTTGATATTTATATAATTCTCTGTACATCTGTCTACATGTGTGTTCTTATGTATATACCAAACCCTTAGCTAATATAAATCACTGTAGTTCTTTTGGCTTCTGTGAAACTATACTGATTTCTTACCAGCTGGGTATCCGGTCCATAGCATCTGGTTTTCCTTTTCCCTCCCTTAATAGCACTGATGAATCAGAATTCCTTAAGGAGGATAATACTAAACATAATTAGACAGGATATGTTCAAGAAGAAAATTTAATTTGAAGAGGTTTGCACAGAATTTTTATTGGCCTCAGGTGGAATGCTGGAACTTTATCTTAATGGATCCTTTCTGCAGATCCATTTCAAAAACTGCATTATGCTATTATGTGATGGAGTATACTCTAATGGTACATTACACATGTATAGTCAGTTGGATTTTAAAGTTATTCCCTAGATTGGTATAATTATTCTGGCCTGCAAAAAGGAAATGTAAAAATATAACCTGAAATTTAAAAATATCAAAAAGGGTGGTTTAATCTTTGGCACCTATACGTATTTGATTAACTAACAGGAATTTCTTAAATATGGGACTGTATCAGAGCTCTCCCCAGAATTGGCTTGCTCAGCCATGAACTTTTTCTTTCTTTTTTTTTAACTTTGCCCATCAGTTTCTCACAGTCCAAATACTGTTATTTTATTTTTTTTGTGTAATGTTGTGTACTTTTAAATTTTTAACTGAGTGTTGCCTTTTTACTGTGATTTTGTAAGCTCAACTTATGTTAGGGTTATTTACATCTGATTTTGAAAAAGTGTACAAGAGCTAGGTACTGGGTGAATTATCCTCCACACTCCCTGATTCTCTACCCATTTGCCTTTAGTCTTCAGAAAACCTTGCTAATATTTATTATTAACAGTCCACATCTAGCTGTCATTTACCATAGTGTAATATCCTAAGCTCCCCAAATGTTTAGGGGACTGATATCAGAAAGACAGCAAAAACTCACTTGATGGGTGCTATGGCAAGCTCTGTGCTAAAGACATAGGAAGAGTAAAAAGGAAAAGATGGAGACAGGCCAACTGATATATGATTCAGTAACCATCTCCTGGAGTGTTTCTGAGAAAATTGAGGTGGAGCGGTTCTGCTCACTAGTCTATCCCAAGTCTTGCTCAATGTGGCACACAGGGAATTGTGCAAAGGGTCTGGAGGGTTGTCTTCGAGCTCAGTATCAGAAGAGAAAGGAAAATTACTTCTAAGCACCCAGAAGGGGGAGAAGATTTAATGGTGCTGCTGGATCTGTTTCTCTTCTTGTATAATTGTATTCAAAATGATGGAGCCTTAACAAGGAAGCGTCTGAGCTCTTGTACAAAAGTGAGTCACAAGCTTCCTCTGTCCTGGCACTGCAAAATGAGATTTACAAGGTGATAAAGTCATATGGAAACAGTATCTTTAATGACCCTGTATTTGTTTGCTGACTAATTACTTCTATTTTAGGGGGTCACTGTCCTTTCTCTGTTTTTGTTAACAGGTTCTATGTTAACACTTTCTTGAATATAACTATGGATCTACACTCTTTTCTTTATATGCACAAGACAGCCCATCTAGCTGCTGATTGATTTCTTAATGAATCTAGCATTGCAGTGAAAAATTACATTGCAGGCATTAGGGATTCAGAACATGCAATCAGACATCGAAATATAACTATTCAAAACATTTAATGAAATTTGCAGAGCCCTGCTGAACGCGGCAAGCAAACAAAGCAGTGACCTGTACTGCTGCCTCTGGATTTATGGTTTGTAAAAAGGAAACAATAATGAGGTATGCTGTATCTGAGAAATTACTTTTTATGAGGTCTTTTGAGTAGGATTCAGGCTAGGATTTTAAGTTCCAACAGATGATTGCTGCTGCCCGAAAATCAGGTGCTCAGTCAAGGTTCTGTCAAGGTTCTGACATTGAAGTTAATCACCACTTTGAAATGCATTTTATAACAGCTTGGAACACCTTTTTCTATGCATGTGGATGATAAATGAATGCACTACATACTCTGACTCCATGTGTTTTGTTTAATTAACAGCTGTTTTTTAGTGCAGGTCCAACCACCATACAATCTGATCATGATGATGAGAAAGGTTCCTTGCCAGTATGGACACATCTAGTGGTGTTAGGTGGCGAAAATAAATAGTTCACCCTGCAGATGTTGCTTTGCATTGCATTTAGGCTGTTCCTAAATTTACATACAGGTGAAAGATCTATTTTCCATTCGCCTCAATCCCTAAGTGCTTTGCACCTTTTGAGACTTGGATGTTCATTTTAAAAACAGGGCAGAAGTGAGAGAGTAAGCTTGGACTCCTACTGTATGTGGGAAAAATCGTTAACTTGAGTAGGAGGAGAGGAAAGATTATTGCATCTGGAATCAGTGATTAGCTCACTCATAATGATGGAAAAAAGCCTTGTGAGCGCTTCCTAAAGCGAGTAAGTCTGGCCTCAGTGAGGCAAAGTCAGTGCTAGGCTGAATGTATAATATCCTACCTTCCATCTGCTTTTAGTGTCATTCAGGATGGGGAAGGAGGGAATTTGTTCCACTTAAATTAAAAACAAAATTCTGAAATATGCTATGGCAATAAGTAAATCCATACTCTTAGCTTTAAATATTGTACTTTGCAAAGATTGCAAAGATACTGGCCTGGAAACCAGATTCAGAGAGTCCTTAGTATGTCAAACAACAGAAGGGTCTTGGGTGTCTGCATATGATCTCTTACTGAAAAGTGTCTACCCAGAAGCTGGAAAGCCTCCTGAGATGTGGAAAGGTGCAAGTAAAAGCTAGGCAGGAAACTGATCTCGTAGAATGTCTGAGGTTGAAGGGACCTCTGGAGATTGTCTAATCCAACCCCCCTGCTATAGCAGGGTCAGCTAGAGCAGGTTGCCTAGGACCATGTCCAGCTAGGTTTAGAATATCTCCAAGCATGGAGACTCCACAGTTTCCCTGGGTAACCTACTCCAGTGTTCAACCACACCCTTACGGTAAAACCATTTTTTCTTAAGTTTAAATGGAATTTCCTGTATTCTAGTTTGTGCCCATTGCCTCTCATCCTGTCGCTGGCCACCACTGAGAAGAGTCTGGCTCAATCATCTTTACACCCTCCCATCAAGTGTTTGTAGACATTGGTAAGATCCTCCCTGAGATTTCTTTTCTCTAGGCAGAAGAGCCAGCTGTTTCAGCCTCTCCTTGTATGAGAGACGCTCCAGCCCTTAATCAACTTTGTAGCCCTCCACTAGACTTGCACCAGGAGATCCACATCTCTCTTGTACTGGGGAGCCCAGAACTGGACACAGCACTGCTGATGTGTCTCACCAGGGCTGAGCAGAGGGGAAGGTTCACCACCCTCCACCTGCTGGCAACACTCTACCTAATGCAGCCCAGGATGCTGTTGGCCTTTGCCATGAGGCTGCATTGCTGGCCTGCATTCAAGTTGTTGTCCACCAGGACCCCTAGGTCCCCAGTCTGTACTGGTATATTGGGTTATTTTCCCCCCAGGTGCAGGATTTTCCTTTGCTGATCTTCACGAGGTTCCTCTTTGCTCTTTTATCCAGCCTGCCAAAGTCCCTCTGAATGGCAGTGCAACCCTCTGGTGTTTCAGCCACTTCTCCCAGTTCTGCATTGTCCATGAACTTGCTGAGGGTGCACTCGGTCCCATCATCCAGGATAGTTATCGAAAATGTTTAACGGTATTGACCCCAGTATCAACCCTTGGGGTGCCCACTAGTGACTGGCTTTGTGCTGCTGATCACAACCCTCTGAGCAGTTTGGCCAATTTTCAGTTCACCTCACTCTCTGCTTGTCTATCCCCTACTTCATCAGCTTGTCTGTGAGGATGTTATGACAGACAGTGAGTATCAAAAGCTTTGCAGAAGTCAACATCCACTGCTCTCCCCTTGTCCACCAACCCAGTTTTCTCACCAGAGAACGCTGTTGGGTTGGTTAAGCACAATTTCCTCTTTGTAAATCTATACTGATTAGTATTTGTTTGAAACAGTTCTTTAAATTTGTCATCACTTCTTAAGATGTATTATTTAGATTTCTTTTAAATAATTTTTTGTTAACAACGAATAAAGAGATTTCTCAGTGTATTTCCATTTAGTAGCCTGGACTACAAAAATACCTTTGACTTTCCATGCCTCTTAGAAGATGCTAGTCTGGTTAACTTATTAAAATAGAAATTGCTTAACAAAGCATTTACTACTCTTATTTGTTATAATTATGTCCTAAAATAGAATTCTAAAGAGGACTCAAGTCCTCTGCTGGGACAGGGTTTTTTCACGTTTTCGAGGAGCAGGTCAGCTCCTAATGCCCTTATTTATAGACATCAGGGTGACCATTTTCATGGAAAAAAGCACATGTCTGACTACATACTGTAAGCTCAGTTTCATTACAAGTAACTTAAGTACTTTGATGTAGTCTGAACTATGTGAAACCCCAAACAACGTGTTAGGATGACATTTCCCTTAGAAAATGCCAGTCCGTTGAAATTGAAAATGTCATCATAATCTGCTGGTTTTCATTAAAATTTTTATTTGGAAAGAGTTGTGTGGGTTTTTTTTTGTTTTAATAGCTGCAGAGTGACTTATCTGTCATATCACTCGCCTTAGGCAGAGAAGACTAAAATACACGTACTGTCCCCAAGCTGTATCTGTCAGATTTGGATTCTTCATGAGAGCAACTGTGTCCACCAAGGTGACTAGGTAGGTAAATTTTCCTGATGTACCTTGTAAAGGTGTGGAAAAATTTTTATTATATGCTGATGCAGAAAAGGCATATTTTTTTAATAATCAAGTTTTGAAAGAGAGAGACATCTTTTTCCCACGCAGCTCTAGTCCTGAAAGACAATATTTACTGTCCACTCTGTAATATGATGCAACCTGTATACAAAAAGGAAGACAACTTTTTAAAAATAATTATTTAGAAATTATTTACTAGGAAAGCAAACCTCCAGGGTTGCAATGACTCTTTAAAAATGTTGTTTTGCTTAGAATCAAGTTAAGGACAAGAAGGAAATGCCCACACCAGGAAAATGATATACTCAATTAGGTCTTGAATTTGTGTTTAGCCTAAGGATGGATTGAGCTTACTTTCCTCCCTTTTGTGTATGGTTTTTGCAGACTGTAATGTGGAGCCATTAAGTGATTTCATTTATCTTCCCAGAATTTGTTTGCTGCTACAGGCTGTCAGCTACCAGAAAATAGGCAGATCATTTAAAATATTGTTGAAAAGTTGGGTTCAATCCTGTTGCATCTGGTATGCAGATGGGATGCCACTTTTTGTTCAAATAAATAGAAGAAGCAATTAAGCTCCTTTTAGAGAAAGATATCTGAAACAATAGGAGGCACCATCTGAAACACAAGCTCTGTCAGATGTTGAGCTATGTGGATAGCAGACTTTCATAAAAGGTTGAATGCAAACATAGATGGGCTAAGTGGGATATTGCTTGCTTTTGAAGTTATCTGCGCATGAACAAAGAAGTGGCTGGAGACAGAGATGGCAGCAGAAGGGAGAGGAGAGCAAGAAAAGTCCTTGTGTGGTGTGGAGAAAAAAGGTAAGAGAAAGGACAAAAACATGAGCCTGACTTAAAAAGAGCTTGCAATAGCATTTTATGAGTAATTCATGTTGCAATTGGACAAAGGTCAGATTTGGTGCATATTCTTTGCAAAAACAGACATCTTCCCCTGCCTTCCTCAAAATACAACAACAAAAAAATGCAACAAACAGTATTCCTCCCATCCTCCTACCTGCCACCTCCAAAATCTAAATGACACTAATAGCATTCCTCCTCCTAGTGTGAGTGGTCAAAGGAAAAAGTTCTCTCTTGTATTTGTGTGCCGTGACACTTGCAAGGGCACAGGATGAGGAACGGGGTCCAAGTGCGAGGAAAGGAGCCAGCACAGAAACAGCAGGGGCTCTTCTCTGAAATCGCCAGTTTCTTATCCAGTGGTATGGGTGATGCAGAGGGAACAAAGATGTTGCGTGAGGCTTTGTCTTCATTTTGGGAAGTGCTGTGTGTGGACCCCGCTGCTGGCTAGTCAGCGTTTCTGAGTGTTGGTGGGTATATTACTGGAGAATGATTTAAAACGTCTCCCTCTGTCTGTGAAAAAACAACTGGTGCCCAAAGATGTGATTTGTCTTCCGGCTTTAGGCACCCCACCTCCCGCAGGAGAACGTGGTACGTTAATGTTGCTGATAGTGATTACTGTCTTACACTTGCAGTTATTTTCATGGGAAGAATAGCGCTATAGTCTTTTCCTTCTGACTGCTGCGAACCACTTTTGGAAGTGGGGTATTTGTCCCTGTAGAAGACAGACAAGCGATGGGAGTACTGCACAGAAATATATGAAATCTTCTTTGAAAAATAACTATTTAAAAATGGTAAATTGGTTTTCCTTATGAATGTTGCTTCACATGCCAATATTACAAACGCATGCACTCAGAATGTATGTTAATATGTGCCTTTTTAAAAAATAACCCCTCTGCATGTGGCCCATAAGTTCTACCTCCGTAACGTGAGATGGAATAATTTTTCATCCTGCCTTTTCTTTTTTTTCAGAGCAGTCAGATGCAGACATCTTCTCCCACCGCTTTCCAACAACTGGGCAAATTTTTGGAAACACCCTGCATTATAAGCACTGTGAGAACAACAGTATAACTTCTCAGGTTTTCTAATGGAAAGTTGGAGGTAAGAGTTCTCCTCAAAGGCTCCACCTCCCCATCATAGAAGTGTTTTTATAATCAAGGAGAAAATTTTATAATGGGAGAAAAGATGGTTTGGGGGCTGAGACATTAACTCCCATCTTCCAGAACCTGAGCTCATGTCAATGGCTGTGCAAATGATTCACCGCTACTTAAAAGAATCAAATGGAGGCAAATAATTCACTTTGAAATAAAATAGTAGTTAATTTTTTTAAAGAGTAATAAATCATTGTGTCTGAAGGTGCAAGCTTTCACAATGTTTCTTTAAAAGATATCAAAATATTTGAGTTTACACATACCACGTAGTGTGAAGGAGATATATGGAAGGAGCAGAAGCTATTTATTTAATTCAGGCTTAGTCTGCAAACAGTTTTGGTGGACTGAAGACTGTCGTGCAAATGGAAAATCTTCTCAGGCCTATTCAGTTTTCTTACACTGCCATGGATGTGTCCTGTAACCCAAATCATGAGATCCATTTGGACCTCAGTTTCCTGTCTGTAAAATGCAAATAGTCTTGCTTCCTTAACCTGTAAGATCACTGTGAGAATAACCACATGAGTAATAGCAGGAATAACACCATCCCACAAGTGCTGTGGCCAGGAAATGATAAATCCCTGGGATTCTAAAGTCTCTGGACTCTATAACTAAGGAATTTAACAGATTTTGATCTATTAATGCAGCTTCACAGGATATCAATGCAATGGGGATAAGTATACAGAAGGCAAAGTAGGTCATTAATAAAAAAGGCACTTCAGAACTTCTCTAGTTTTCCCCCATCCTAAATAATCTCATTTTCTAAAGTCTGTTAGGTCTGTTGATTTGTGATGGTGGTCTTGCTGAAGTTGGGATTGTCAAAACATAAGAAGTAGAGATTCTAGGAGATTTTAATATGTAATAAAATATCTTTTATTAGAACAGATGACATAGATGAGGGCAAAAGAGATGAGCTTTCTAACCCAGCTCATGCCTGAAATATGGTCCAAGGAAGATCCTGAGCATATGTCAGCCTTTTGGTCTAATAAGAGTATTACATCTTCTCACAAACTTTGCTTTGCACAGTGTAGTAGGTAAATACATAAATCAAAAAATCTTTACATGCAGAGCTGAATAAATAATTATTGCAGTAAAAAAGTTCAAGAGAATATTCTGGTTTAGGTCAAACAAAAACAGAATTTTTGAAGGGTTTTATGTGAAATGAAAAATACTATTTAGGGCCAATTCAAATGCTGCTTGAGTTGAAACAAAATGTTTCATTCTGCTTTCATTAACCTTTTGTTTAATCATGTTTCTATAAGTCTTTTTAAAATTGAAAAATCAAGGCTTTTGCAAATAAAGTCTTGTTTCTGGCATAATATATTTTGCTTAAAATGTCAAAGATAAATGTTACAGCTTCCTTAATGGATGTTACCCTTATCTTTCTTGGTAGGAGCCATACTCCAGACTTGACACATTTGCAATTAAGATTTGCTTTCTCCATCAAAACTCCATTTAACAAACTTGCTATTCAGTCTCCCTCCTCTAAAATTGGTTTTATTGGAGAGTTCAAACTGCTTAGGACTCCAGATTGTTAAAGTATGCATAAAATACAGTAATATGGGCATGCATATGGGTTTCTTTGTCAATAATCAGTTTGCATCATACTCTTGTTTGTGCACGGGTGCATTTACTCCCATTTTTGGGAGTATGATACACTGTTGATACTTTCTGAATTTCTGAAGCTATGGTGAAAATTTCCATAGGAAAAATATTTATTGTTAGCAAACTTGATGATGACTGTGTTTTATTCTCCTGAGATTTGCCATCTTAAAATCTTAATAGCATAGCTTTCAGGGTGAAGAGGAGGAAAAAGACAGATAGAGATAGAAGTCTGATACGAAGGCATGGAACTGAAAACATTTAGATAAAGAAAATGGATATAAAAAAAAAATCACATTCAGAATTGATTCCATGGAGTAATATTCCACTGTAAAAATGAAGAATAAATTAGCTGAAGGCAGAGGGAAACCTTGAACAACTTTAATCCAACAAGATGATGTTTACTTGCTGAGATATTCCTTGCTTTAAAGATGAATCATAGCAAGTTTCTGTAGTAAGTATTCCTAGGATTACCTCATCTCTCATGGTAGATTTCCTCAGGCCAGTCAAATATGACATGCTTCTAAAATGATTCCCTTTCATCTAGCAGCAAGTATGAGATTTGTTTAAAATGCTATTGAAAATCAGAAAACTGAGCAAACTGAGACATTACAGGCAAGTATGAACTTGGTATATTGTACTTTCCATGAACCTGTACAGCAGCAGTTGTTAAATCTCTTATGAATCCTCCGCAATTAAGCCTGAGGCTATGAAGACTGACTTCACCTAGCCGCCTGGTCCCAAGCCTTGACATGTGCTCCTTTCCAGGCAATTTTGAGATAGGCCATCTCCCTGGCAACCAGGTTTCACCATCTCTCTCCTGTTCTCCCTTCCCTTAATATACAACATATTAGCTGAGCATCACTGACCTATTTAAGTGTATCTGGTAGAATGCCTTTAGCGTACAAGTTTAACAGTAAAAATTTTGCCGAATTAAAAAAAAATTGAAACCAGTGACTTTAGCTCTTAACATTTATCTTTGTCCAATCACGATGACTGATTTAAGGGAGCAGAGGGAGGGGATGAACAAATATTTCGTTCAGAATTTTTTTTTTTGATTCTTCTAATATATAATTTTCCACTGATTTGTATAACTGATCATTAGAGCCTGCTGTTGTGTGATATTCTGTTGTCTGCAAAACACCAGCAAAACCCAGTTTGATCATAATATGCTATGACTAAAAACTGTAGATCTTGTTACAGAGGGCCATGAATCCACTGGAGTTTTTTAAAAATTTAAGGATGTTGAAAATGGAAATTGATGTAAAAGTTGTCCTTTGTAAGCTGGGGAAGTTATGTCCATATCGACCTGGATCAATGTTGCAAAACACTTTTAAAGCAAGTATTCAGTGTTACAAAAAGAAAACAAATTGATTTAGTGGTGTCTGTTAGTTTCGCAATCTTGGCTTTTCTTTACATGCAAATTTGGGGAAATGAATTTTCCTAGCAGGAATGTTAGATAGCACCAGCTGGGAAGCACTGTCTCAGAATACTTGCAGGATATGAGTTAGATGGCAGAAACCTTTCATTATGGTAGGTCAGTCAGACCCAATGACCTGTATGACCGATCACGACATCAGAGTCTAAATCTTAGCAACTGTTTACAAGAGTGTAGATGAGTGAATAATAAATAAATAGTTCTGAAATGGATTGCAAATAAACTTATCTAGAAAATGGTCTATATCATAGTTGTACTTGACTATCTTTATTCTCCTTTCTTTTCAAAGGCTGCCTTTTCCCCTTCTTTCTTTAGTTTGAGGTTTTGTTTTGTAATTGTGGCTCTTGCATCATAAACTATCACTAACATTGTGACAGATCTTAAGTCCTTCTGGTAGGAGACTGTAGAATAGAGAGGAAATGTAATAAAGTAGGTCCAAAATACACCTGGTCTACCTGGAATATATAGTAAGACTTCAGAAGATTGTTCTAATGCATATGTAGTAAAGTAAAACAAATCAAGGAGTTCTCTTGCCTATTAATTGCATTTAAACCTTCTCTTGTCATTAGAAGTTAGGGGCATGCATGTAGAAAACTAGTCATGTTAGGTTGTGGAACCTTGCCTGTTATGGAAAAGGAAGATTTTTCCTATCTCTAGGTTTTCTCTGTAAGAGGGTATGCAACAAACTGGCTTGACTGGATGTCGACGAACTAACTCATTAAGGATGGGCAAAATGTCTGTTATGCTCCCTACACAAATACCTTTCTTCTCCAGTAAAAACGTCCTCATGTCTCTCAGAGTCTTCTCAGGGTTCAGCCCTAAATTGTGCTGAGTTTATACTTGCCTGAAGAGAACTCATGAAAAAAGCAAGCCTTGTCTGTCTTTGTATATTTCTTAGCTGATGTTCAAGCTCTGTCTAAGAACATCATTTATTCTGCTATCAGCCTTTCTGTCACTGACATATCCCTTGCGTTACTGATCCCCCAAAAGGGCGGGGAAAAGCAGCACAGAACCACCTCTGCTGGCTTTCTGCCCTCTCCTCCCTCAGCCATGCCAAAACAAATCCTTGCTTGCAGAACTGCTGAGATTGGCACCCTGAGGATGCACTACCTCGGAGTGGAGCTGCCAGAAAAAGGTTCGATGGTTAAATGCCTCTCTTCCAAAGTTTGATCGATTTTGCACTCTATTTAAAAGAGATACACTGGTGTCAAGTGGGAATACCAGAGTGCTGCACAAGTATTGGTTGGATTTCTCTCTAGTTAAAAGATTAGCCTGACTGATGTTTCTAGATAACACTGTTTTAGTAGTCTCTAACAATTAAGACCTACAAAAAAGCAGAGAGGCCACTTCTGTTATCATGCTTCTTGGTGGTATATACAAGATGCACCTCTTGAGCAAAATAAATAAAAACAAATGAAGAATGTCTGTAAGGAAACACAGTAACAAAATGTAATGCAAATAATCAGAAAATGAGTTAGCTGCTCATTAGAATTATGATATGACAATATTAAGTAATAGTATACCCAACCTTTTCTAGTCCATTGAAACATGATACTTTGTCTTAAACCTTAGTTTTAATTTCGATACTGCTCATCTGCTAAACCTTACATGAAAAGTGAAGAGTTATATCTTGTTAGAGAAAGAGATGCATATTAGAGATGTTTGGGTGGAGTGATAAGGGCTATTAGGGTAAAGATGAGGCAGTCATAAAATGCATGACTCTTTATGTGTCATAGTAGAGGAACAGCTTGTCTTTGGAGAGCAATACGTCTTGCCACTCATTCCCATGCTAATGATGATGCTGCCAAGTGAAATCCTTGTAAATACTGGTTATCTTAAAACAAAGAAACAACAAAAAGGATGAAACTAAAAGCTAGAATCCCAGTATAGCAAAGATGGAAAGGATAATCTGTCCCAGGGTAAAAGCACGATGAAGGGTTTGTTTTCCTCTGCAATGTTTTGAAAATAATTAGCAGAGGTTTGTTTTTTTTTTTTAACATAGAAGAAGAAAAAGTATGAACTAGTATGTCAAGTAGTCCACTCATAGTCTAGTTTAGGCATGTCCTCAACACGGCATCTGAGTACATGGATAATTATCAGCATGTATAAAATAAGCTTATCTTTACACTAAGGGCAGATAATCATCCTCATTAAAAAGACTTGTAAGTGTATCCGTGTCTTTAACTATTTGCTTAATTTCACTGATATGACTATATACCTAAGGAAGACAGTGTTAGAGGAGATTGATGCAATTTAAGTATGCTTCACTGAGTAAGGACAGATTTTTATAAGTGAGATTATCATTGATTTCCTCTTAAGCTATGTAGACTCATCCACTGCCTTATTAAAGGAGTTCTGGTTCACTGGTTTTTGGGTCTGGATTTTTTTCCCCCTCTTAGAAAAGAAGTAAAACTTTTCCCACAAACGTATTTACTTTGCCCTGTGAGAACAATGCCTTCTGGACACCCAACTAAAGAAAATAAAGCTGTCTTGCAAGTAAATATTGGGCAAAAGTGACTTGCCCGATCCAGGAATAATACTTGACTTTGAGATCTATTTGCTATGTTCATCTTAATGTGATTCTAGGCAAGAGTATGAGCTCTTAAAAATTTATTTTTTTTCTTTACATTGAAGAGCTGAGGTCAACTTGGAATTCCATTACCGCTCCTGAAGTCAGTGGACTTTTAGAGAAAGTACCTGTAGACAGAAATTGATACCTCAATTGTTTTCTAGATAATTTTGTCTTTAGATAATTTTGTCACGTTGCAATCCCTCCAGGAACCTGCAGATTAAATGGGAGAACTAAGAGCAGAAGAATCATACAAGCTGTAACATCATCTCTCTCGATACGACAGCTGGAAAAGGATACCTCAGTTTTAAAAAGCTCCTATGGATTTGTATAGGCTAGGGTGGAAGTGCCATTGTCTGTCAGTTCTGACGGCTGTCAACCCTTATCTAAGAGCAACAGATTTACAGAAATTATATTTGCACCTAAAATGAAGTAAATGATCTCTTTCTTAATTTTTCATCCATTTCATGCCTGAAATAAAGAATATGTAAGGCTTTTAAAAATTGACTTGTCTCAATTTATACATATATATAAATATATATATTTTAAACTCCATGTCTTAAATAAGAGCTTCCTCCCCAAATGCTCAAACCAATTACGGAGCATCAGAGAGGGAAGGGCACAACACAGATGGAATCATAAGCATTTCATATCAATTTCTAAGATCATTCTGTTAAGATCCAGTCAGGGCCGAGTAATTTATTTAGTTTAAGGAAGTTCACAGATTGGGTGCAGATGCATTCATGGATGAAGATATATCTAGTTCTTTCAATGAACATAGGGGAGTTCCTACAAGAGTCGTGACCTTAGACCACTCCATTTGGTAAATAAAGACCTGGTTTTGCCCTCTATATCTTTGTATCTGACATTTTTAGGGTTTATTGGGTTGGGGGGACCCAGAAAAAACTCAACACTGTTAAAGGTGGATTACAACATTTTTTTTTTTTTTAGACTACTGTGTCAGTGCAATTCATCCCCCTTTGCACCGCTGTAAGTAAGGACTAAACCTAATTCAAGTAATAAGTGCATGTTTTAGCACTTTGATGCCCAATTTTAAACGCTTCTACTGGCATTTCTTTGAAATAGAATAATCCTGATAGTGCTCACTGATTACTTTATATTTTTTGTAAAGGATTCAGTCTCTTGAGCAATATCAGCAATTGAAGCAGCCAGATTTCAGTTCAGAGTCTTTTCCTTCTTGAAAAATGACTAATATTTCAAACCACTGTGAAGTCACTGTAGAGCTAGCACACAACAGCTGAGAAAGGTCTTTGAGTAATTAGATCTCAAACACAAATAAAGAAGGGTGGTTTTCTTCAGGGATACACCATTACTTTGACGTTTTCTCTTCAGTTAAAGTGGATAAAAGTTTACATTTCAACAATCCAAGTAAAAAACAAAAATTAATCTAAGCTAAACTGTTAGGGTTAGGCTGAAGTTTAAAACCGCAGTCCTGCCATCACTTCAGAAAGGACGCTGTAGCTGTTCTGGTGCCTGAGTCTGGCATGCAGGCCTAAAGACCAGAAAGCTGCCCTGGGGACTGTGTCTGCAAGCATGCAGCAGGCACATGTGCGAAGAATGGAGAAACAAGAAAGATCTTCTAAATCTTCCCTTGCCCTCTTCTATCTTTGCACTCAAGATGCACCTTCAGAAAAAAGTACTCTACTTTTAGGAAAAGGAATGGACAGGTGTGACATCCTTGGGTGATGATGGAGCCAGAATGCCCTACATGCTTGGTGTATAAGCAAGAAAAGACAAGTAAAGCAGAGAAGTTGATTTCACCTTTGGTGAAGTGTTTGAGGTGGACACTGGGTGACAGTCTGTCCTTAAGTGTTTTAAGAAGAGGAGCAGAAACCCTAGGCCAGGTTACACAACATGGAAAATTTTATTCCACTCGAATAAAGTTTTACAACACTCATTAGTCTCAGGAAGAAAAGGGTTTTATAATAGGAGATGCTGACCAATTTTATCAAGGACTGGGGATCCTAGTTCTTTGTTTAGTACTGCACTCTGGATGGGTGCCTCCTCCCAGATGTTCTCAGTCTGTATGTAACATGAAGGTTTTTTTCCTGTTCCTGCCCTTTTATTTGTAGCCAGACAGCTTAATGAGATTTTCAGGTCATTCCTCCCATAGCTTCCATCACAGGAGAGGTCAGTGTATACCAGGTGTCTTTGAACAGTGGCCTGAGGGCAACATATGGCCTGCAAGGGGCAGCTGAGAGACACACTGCTGGCCCTACCACCCCTAGAGTGACCCCTAGAGAGCTGAGCCTAGGTCTTCCTCCCTCACCCCTCATGCAGGGAGTAATTTCTTTCCTGCTCTAAGGATAGCAGGAACAAAAAGTAGGATAAACTCAATTTGATGAGTCTTCTTGTTCATTGTGGTATCATCCCTCATCCTGCAAAGCCTCCAAGGAGCCAGGTGGTTCTGCCTGCTGTCTATATCATGAAGCATCAAAGCAGGAGGATGTGGCAGTGTTTGCCTCCAGAATGCTTGTAGGGGTGAGCGAGAGACCTCAGGACTATGCTGGGAAACGGTCATACCATGGAAGCCAGGCCCAAAACACTGTCATAACGTTACACTTGCAACTCTAGAGAGCCTTCCTCTTGGAAGCATCACAGTCCAGGCACCCTCCAAGGGCCTCTGGTCTGCCCACTCCTAGCTTCCTCTGATCTGGGCATCTTAAAAATTACTACAAGACTGCTATGTATACTAAGGTTCTTTTCTGAAGCTGCAGTTGGTTGAAAACAGTGAAAAGAGAAGAAAATACCTTTTTGTTTCCCCCTCATCAAAAAATCACAAAGCTCTCTCTGTGTGTATTTAAATATATATTTACCAGCTATGTTTCCTACTCCCAGTTTCCTTCAAGACAGGTGAGATGATGACTCAGCTTGATGAATCAGCAGAATGTACTTAATATTTCCCATCTGGGTCAATTTTAGCTAACACAGTTGGATGCTTCAGGTGAATGCAGCCAATTTCTTACACCACATTGGGCTGCCTCATTCTTTAAAATAAAACTGTGCCAATTACTTTCTCAATGCATCTCATACTGACTGGACATGTACAAAAAGTACATGAGTTTCTCATGTACTTCTCTCATGTCTCTTGACATGAGCGTCAAGTGAGTTTCTACCTACCACCGACCACTACTTTATTGCCTCTGAAGCCTGCAAACCTAAAGGCCCAGAACTCAGAGCATTCTGGGCTGCAGATGCAGAAAGCACACTGAGAATAGGTGTGGTTTCCCCTTTTAATGCCTCCCTTTTCTCTGAGCATTAGGTAGCGCCTTTCTCTGAAGTCCTTATTTCAGTCTGGCTTTGAAAGGAGGCAATAAAGTTCCTAGAGCTTTTCTGCCTGGCCTTGAATGGGTAAGTATCACAGATGGCCCCTAGCCTGTGAAAAGAGGAGGAAGTGGATCAAGAGGAGAAGGTAGGCTGAAGAAATCCTTGGTGAAGAAGACAGGTGTTTGGGGGAGAGCAGACATCACAGTGTTTGTAGAGTGCTTTGAGACAAAATTGTAAATGATTCTATAGATTGTGAACAGTTTGAGGGGAAAAAGTGCTGCAAGGTCTAGAAAGGTAAACTTCAGCAGTCCTCAGTTTTTTGACCCATGAAGTAGATGCCGTAGGGCTAAAATATTGTATTTGTTTTAATTTCAAAATGTTGCAAGGATTTTATCAAATGAGTATACAGTTCCAGGAATCTTCTTATTTGTTGTGTGTGGGTGTCTTGTCTTTGTTGAAAAAAAGAAATTGTGTGCACAAGAGAAGAAATAACCATTTCAGTCTATACTGAGAACAGTCTTAAGTGTGGAATAAGTCATTCAAAATTAGAGATTTTTATAAATTTTTTTTTAATGCTGGACTCTTCTTATGTGGCAGCTACATTTAGACAGCAGAGCAATAAAACATGATTATCAGGAAAAATAATGATTATGGAAAATAATGCCGAAATCTGCGAAGTGTCCTGATTTCCTTTTTTGCATGTACTTCTGAAGAGGCTCTCTCCTCCTTCCCCTAGCCTAATTGTGATCTGCAGCCTAAATTATTCAAGCAATGACCCAAACAAAAAAAGAGGCAGTAATGATACTATGTCACGTCTGGCAAAGGCCAAAATTAAACAGCAAGTCATTTACCCCATGGTGGCATGAGGATATCAGGTTTAGATAGATTTAATTTATCAATAGGGTCAGGCTGCTCTGAATATAAAATCAAATTACACTGAAGCAGATGTTGAAGTCCAACAGGAAAAGGTGTAGATTGATTGGAGAAAGGCAGACCATCAAAGAGGCCTTTGTCCGGGTTTGACTGGGCGAAACAGCTGACAAGTGGCCAGCAGATACAGCAGTCAGGCAGCTGCATGATGGGAGTTTGACAGCTGACTTCATTAGAGCCTCTAGGACATGCACTGGGATGAATTTGTCCTTTAATTGAGTTGGGCCAGGAAATAGCACCCACAGGGCAAACACGAGTGTGAAAGGTTGAAAGGGACCTGGAGGCCAGACAGGTGATTTTAATGCTGTTATGATATTTAACATTTATGTTACGTTTGTATGTATGATGTGTGTGTGTGTGTTTATCACAAATCTAAAAAACCTTTAACTATAAACTGCACTTCTGCCAAAAATATATCACTTCTGCCTGATGTGGTGGAGGGTGAAAATGTGCATTGATCTGTGGGCCTCACTGGCAACGAGTAGCCTTTCACAGTCCATCTCCCATTTCAGGAGAAATTTGGGCTTTTTGTTTGCATAAATAATGTAATGTTCTGTTTAATTAACATATGAGGTAAAGTCTCTAAAGGCAAATTCTCAGATCCCTGTACACTTTTGCTGTTTGTTTACAAGTCAGTGGTATTTCTTCCTGGCTTAGCACTTCAGCAACCTTTCACAGGGCATTCACCATTGTAAGAACCTAGATTGCTGAATCAAAATATTAATACAAACTCTGCCTTAGTCTACTTTACATAGCTTTACAGCTCACGTTGCCAAGAGCCTGGGTTGATTTAAACATGAAGTGGAGATGATATATGTTCTGTGGTGGGGTGTGTGGGGGGGGGATCCTGCAGTCCATCCTCAGGCAAAACATTGACAGAAGGCAGAACTCCCACAGAAGGATATGGGTTAGAATATAGATGGTGTGTTTTAAGTGTTTGTAACAAAGTAGTCTTATACAATATTCAAGCTAATTAATATAAAATAGGAAAAGGACTATGGTGCAAACCTGTAACTGGTAATCTGAGTCTTATAACTTCAGTGGCACTTAGATATGTATATCAAGTGGAGAATAGACTCCTTTATGTTCTCTCAAAGCATAAATATGTGATCAAAGAAATAACATACACTGGAGCTGCCCTGAAGCAATGACCCTAACCTTATGCCT